CCAAGAGTTATAAGCCCTATAATATCAGTCTGTATTTCCCTCCCCTTCTTGTAAAAGGAATCTTTCTCTGCACAAACCCTGGGCTGTCACAGTATGCAATTAGCAACGTTATTATTCCCAGATCGGACATTAGCAACATGGCAAAAGCCAACCTGATACAGGGATTTGCAGCGTATGTGCTTTCTCATTTATTACACGAGCAGAAGAGCAGGTTTATGACTGAGATCCTGTCACTGCCTGTGAGATGGCTGCCCAGGGAGTGCTCTGCTGCAGGTACTGTCAACCTGGAGAGATTCGAGGCAGAAACTGAATAATTAAAAAGATGGAGGAAAAGAAGACACCTGGTGCCATCACAGTGAAAGACAGCAGATGTGCGTTTCACTAATAAGGAGACCAGATTGTGTGTCTAATGTAACAGAGGGAAGGTTTTAGAGCTCTCGACAAAAGCAACATTAACCTGTATCGCTGATTGTGACTCCAAATACAGACAAAATGCAGCAAAACAAAGCCACACATACATTTTCATCTGCTGTGTTTTCATTTTTGTTTCTGCTTAAATCTCAGAGAAGGTTCTCCTTTGTATGCATGCTATCTGATGAGCTTTGCTATATGGTATGCTATACATAATTTTTGCGCTATAAAAAAATTAATTACCCTTAAGGAAAAGCTGAATATTTCACTGTACATAATGGGATTCCTCTTCTTTGTAGCACTATATACGTTCCCCTTTTTGTTCTTTGACCTTTTGACCCTTTACATCTGCTCAAGGGCATGTTAGACAGGAAATAGTCCCACGGACCCCATGATCCGTAATGGAAAAGGCGAGGTCTGTCGTCTGTCAAAAGAGAGAGAGAGCCATGAGGCAGAATAGAAAGTGAAGTGACAGAGAAGACTTGAAATGCAAACCATCCTTCTGTTTGACCTCCCGGCTTTCTCCGCCATCTCTAATGTATTATGGAGAGTTTTCTTCCTGTAAATCAGTCTTACTTGACTTTCAGGCTCTCATTTGTCATGTCCTTGTAAAAACCAATGAGGCAGCAGCTCATTGGCCAGTTAGATTCAGGACAATTTTAAACCACTTTCCACTGAATTAGATACCATTTCTCCAACTTGCCAATTAGGACTTTGACAACTTTAAGGAAGCAGAGGAGACTTAAGGGACTGGTGACAATAAGGCACTGTGGGCACGGGAATTAAATTCCACATTTCTTAGTTTAATAATCAGCCCCTTGGACCATGGAGTTGCTAAAATATCTCCAGGGATCTGACTGAGAGGGAGCGTTTTCCTAATATATTCTTTTTTAATTAGAGTTCAGCAGCCAGCCATGCTTTAGAGGTCAAATCTCCTTCACACTGGGCATTCAGTGAAACCATTTATCAACTACAGCGCCTTTTGACACATTTATACCAGCAGAGAGAGTTTGCAGATTTGATTTAAGAGCTCGTGCATTTCTGGGCCGATGCTAATTCAGCGTTTACAGAAATTCCTGGTTGTGGCTTATTGTATTTATCAACTGAAGTGTGCATAACCAATAACTATGAGCTTAATTCACTGCCGAATAAACAAACATCACTTTGTGAGGGATGATTAGGCAGAGAAAAGAAAGCTATTAAGATTATATTCTGCTTTTTTCTCCAGCGAAATTGAATTTATTCTTGTTAAACATCTAATAATGCACTGCTGACTCTTACTCCAGGCACACTAAAATATGAAAAGCTTAAGTAAGAAAGAAGAGATTATTGCAATCAAAGTTTTAATGAAGGTGACGGGATCAAGAGCAATAGAGAAAAAAGGAGAGTTTGCTGTTTTCGTTACATGTTTTTTAAATGAGATGGCCATAGTGATCACAAAAGCGCTGGGATCTGAAAGCAGGCGGATACATGAAATGGTGTGAATGAAAAATAGCTGTATCTAATTACTTTTGTCCTACTTTCAATGAACTTCATCTTCATCAACAAACTTTTCCTACATTGGCTTTCGGGATAATGATCTTCTCTTATCCCACTGAGATTTGCAAAGAGAAGGAGTTAACTTTTGAAATAGGCAGCGTTACTTCAGTGAAAGCAGACGGATTATCTGAGATGTTAATACCCGTCCTACGGCACTGATGCGCAAACTCTGGCCATGCGCACATTAAGCTCCTGGATTAATTTGTACAGGCGTATAAATCTGTATACTAATCATTTCTTTCTGGAATAAAAATGTTCTGCAAAAACAAATTAAGGTTTAGCCAGGTAAACGAAGGCTTGTGCTCTACAGGAACATGGAGCAAAACTAAAAGAGGATGTCATGTTTTCTACTCTTGTCTGCTCTGAGAGCAGGGATAAGGTGATGGACAAGCTAATTGTTTGAGGGTAATGGATGCCAGACAGTAACAGGTGGATACAAAGAGGCGGTTAGTCATGGATGGCTTTGTTACTTCCAATGATAGTTGCACTGACAATCGTCCAACTGTAGTCAGGTCAGCCCAAGGCTAATACCCAATAACACTGCATCTGTCATTTCCCCACGTTTCCCTGTCACAGAAGATTTTGTATCCAGGAATGGGGAATTACATGTACACGAACGATGCCCTGCTGCTTGGATTCAGTCCTGAACCCTCATCTATATTCATTGAAATTCTGCTGTCCCCTGAAGGGAAGAGGACTTTTCTGAATTGCGATCAAGTTATTTAGCGGCACAAGCTTTTGCACTTTACAGATATGCTAATGAGATCCCTGAAAACATTGGGAACATGTCTTCCATCTAAAATGGTAAATGATGATAGCATTGCTTTATGTTGTAAAGGTGATGCCTACCTTATTAGAATTTGCACAGAGGGAACATATTAAGGGAAAATGTTCAGGGTTTTAGCTTAAAATAAGGATGACATGAATAATATTATTGCTGATTGCGCCTCTTATGTGGATTGAGTCAATAAGCCAATCAGGGTGCGTGGCTGCTTGAAAAGGTGCCAGCTGATGATGATCGGTGTTAGCAAACTGGATAGATCTTTCACGAAAGCGTGAATGCTTTATTTAGAGAGTTTAGCATGTGCAAAATGCTACAGGCCACCAGATAGTGATGGACTCATTCAGTCTAATGATATTGGTTTGAATGGTTAAATAAATTCTCATATGTAGTCTGTTTTGTAGCTTGTTGGTTCCTGGCCCGAGTCACTTGGACACCTTACATTCACTCTGTTGCTGCGACAGAGCTGCTAACCTGTTAATTGCCACACTCTCTCCTCTGTGTTGCCATGTACATATGAGGAAAGCTGTGTGCTGTGCTCTGTGTCAATAAAGGCTGCTCATTGGTTTGTACATGGGTGCTAAAGAGAAGCTGTGATCATGATTATTTTGGTCAGTGCTGAGATCTGGATTATTTAACTTGATTATCTATTAACTTTTAAAACATCAGGCATTATTTGAACTTTGAGTACAAATTGTATTATTCTTGTCACGGTTCTGGGTCGGTTCGACCCAGCATTTTGAGTTTATTATGTTTTGGTTTATTTTTTGAATGATCGTTTTGTTCCTCTTGTGCTTTGTCCATTATTATTAGAATTCTATCTTTCTGTTTATTCGTGGTCAGGATTTATTGTCTCATGTATTGTTTGAGTTCTGTCTGCCTCTCTGTGTTGAGTCTGTGTCCTTGAGTAGTGATTCATGTTTCCTGTTTTATTGTGAAAGTCCTTGTCTTATGTTAGTGTGTGCAGCTTTGCTCCCCCTGTCTCGTCAGCCCTGATCTCTCCCAGCTGTGTCTCCCTCCTGTTGCCCATTCCCTCATTACCACCCTGTGTATATAAGCCCTGTGTTTTCCCGTGCTCGGTGTCGTGTCGTACCTTCGGCTTATACCTGTGTGTTTTTGTGTTCAGTACTTTCGTGTACCGTTGCTCAGTTTGCTTTGTTTTCTGCCAGTAAATAAAGCTGAGGGTTTTTTTTGAGTTACTATTCAGTGTTCGAGTCCTGCGTTTGGATCCTCCTCTCCGCCTGCCCGCACACAGAGCCCTGACAATTTTTTGTGTCCGCATCTACTTTTCAGATTACTTGGAGCCAAAATGTTTCCGAGCAGCTGTTTTATCCTCTCCCATTGCTCAAAGACTGTCTTTTTGTCCTTCGGGTTTGAGCTGAGCTAAAAATGCCTGCTCTCCAGGGCTTTTTTTTATAGGAATGGGTGCAGGCACAATTGTGAAGGGGAAGATGAACAGGATTTCTAAAACGAGACAAAAAGAAGCAAATTATTGTGAAACTTGATTATCTTATTTTAATAATCTTTGAAAGTTAAATCTGTGATTGAGTGTACAATTAAATACATTACCCAGCCATAAATATGCCTAGTTTGAACTGTTTATCTGTTTCTTGAGCTTTTTTTTTATGCCACTTGTTTTTTTGCATCATTTTTAGATTTACAGTTATCTACTAAACTTACACGAATAAAAGAAATCTGACATTTTAATGTATGCTATTCTATCTTCAGGTGTTTTAAAAAAATGTTGTTGTTTAATACTCACATTTCTGCATTTTTTTTATTTAAGGATTACATATTCTTAAAAGGATTTGCAGTTTCTGAGCGCACTGTAGAGGCAGGCTGCTTTTATAGGTAGTGTCCATACTTTGAAAGGCACCTCTGCCTGTTACCACTGTCTCTTTCCACTGCACTTTATTGTGCTCACATGGAAATGATATCCCCCGGGGCGTTGTGGTTTGTGTGAAGTTGAGTATGGTTGTTGAATTACCGTGCAATTATGTTGTAGCTCTTTGCATATGGCATTCAGTGATTTCACAGCATGAAAGAAGAAGCATTTGTGTATTGTGTACAGCTGTTGCCCTGCAGTCTTAACTCATTCACTGCCAGCCATTGGCAGTGAATGAGTTAAACCCATTGACTCATTCACTGCCATTGACGGCTATAGACGTCAATGGCAGTGAATGAGTTAAACGGAAATTGCATATACACACACACACATGCAGGACTCTGTTTTCACATTTTGATGTGCAACTCTTTTCTTCTCTTACAGGAATCTGTTGGACCGAGACACTTTCTCCAAATCTGACCCTTGTAAGTTCTCAGCTTTTACGATGATAATTGCAGCTCAGATTTTCCTGCGGGAGATTTTGCTCAGAATATCGTTCGCTGACACCTCGTCTCCATTTACAAAGCTTCACTTTTTATTTTTGCTGAGCTTAACTTTGATTCAGTTTACTGCGCTGTTTCAAAGTGTTCCTTCAATAACTGCATATCATTTGCACAATAATGTGACAACCTTTCCTTGCTGAGAGCTAAAGTACCTTAATGCATGCAGGGTGTAAACGCCAGCCTTTGAATACAAATGGCTATCTTTTGGTGAGACACATGGGGAAATGCCATAAAGGCATTTTCTTTGATACTCCCTGCAGGATAGAGAATGGAGGGGGAGACATTTAACATAATAGGGAGGAGGTAAAAGCCCTTTGTGTAAATAAGCTACTGGGAAAATAGCGCTGACACCCTGTTTTGTATTCGCCTGAAGCTGAACCTCGGTATATATGACAGGTCATGTGGTATTCACCCGCCCCAGCTTCATTTAAAGTCGCCAGATCTAATGGGAATCAGGAGAATCCCACAATGAAGAAATTGTGTTTTGATTGCATGGGTGTCGCTGTGTTCAGGGGCTCTCTATCTTGATTTTCTTTTTTGATTGTGGACAGCATACCTAGAACCATCAAGCTTGGCAGTTCATTATGTTGTCAGGGCGTGGCAAGATAATTAATCATGAATGTCAGCAAAGAAGGAACAAAACAAACATAATTTGAAGAGGCAGGATTCTTGATTGAGATTGTTTGGTGACGTATTCTTCTGTTTTGCATTTTTCCTCTCTCTTCGCTGCTATCTCATCCTTCTTCATCACTTCTCAGTGGTTGTGTTGTACACCCAGGGCGTAGAGACCAAACAGTGGAGAGAGGTAAGCGACCACGCCGTTTCCCTGTCAACACAGCTCAGTCAGTCCGTCTCTTTTCCGTGACATCTTACTCTGTTTATCCCGCTTACCCCCTCCCCACCCTCCTCTGTCTCAAGGTAAATGCTGTGAGTGCCAATCACTTGCAATTGACTGACCTTGTAAATGCTGGTGCTCTGGTCAGCACTGTGTTAGCTGTGACTGATTAAGGTGGCAGCTACATGTATCATTAAAGATTTTCCTCTGTGTCGCTGTCCCCTCTGGCTTCCCCTCTGATCAAAGCAGACAGAGGTTGCAGTAAGACATTAGGCCCGTCTGGAATTGTTATGTGACACTGTAATCACAAATTAAAGGCATACACTGAAACTGCAACTTAAATTAAATCAATTCTTATTATTTTGATCTAAGGCAGTCGAACTAGTCTCTTTGCTTACACATTGAAATCGATTGGGATTGAACGGTGAGTGGTGTGACTTCAGATTTAAAATGGGAAAGATTTGATACCCCAATAAAAACAAAACATATAGTTTTGTTGAGTTTTTGCTTCCAAAAAGGCAAAAATGTGTTTCAGTTGTACCGCACAGATTGATAACTTGGATTTCAGGATTCACTGGACAAATTAGTAGCTAAACAGTTAAAGTATCACCAAATTTTACTCTTTATTTCATAGAATATAACGGTATAAGCAGCAATGATCTCAGTTTGACTGTCAAACCTAAAGAATAATCTATACCTGTAGCCACTCTGCTTAGCTGCTGTGTGAACCTCAGTATAAATGGCTTTACACTCCACCATTTTTACCTTGCTCTTTTTTAGCTTAGAGAAACTACAAAGAAGAGATGTGAAATGAGTTCAGAGAAAAGGTCAAATGTTTATTTGAATCACAAATTACATCTTTTCACAAGTAGATTGGGAAATGCTCCATCAGCTCTCCATAGTTTGATTATATTGTCTAAAAGTAAAAACAAAAACTGAACTGAGAACAGAGGTAACACAAGCAGACCCAGAAAGATTACCAGCAGATTGGATAATATGAGTAAAATATGAGTACCACAAAGAACAGGTGAGAAATAACACGAGAAACCACCTCAGGGATCAACAAGAATTACCAGAAACAGTGTGGCAAACAGGCCATTTGAAAAAGCACTGTGGGCAAGGAGACAGGGTGATAAACCACCAAAAGCTCTTCCACTGCTCCAAAGCATACCATCGGCCTTTTTTAATAATATTTTTCACTGTATGAATGGCTCGTCCAGGATCATAACCATAAAGCACCTCCACAGGTGCCACGGACAAAATAAATGTAGCATTAGTAAGAATTAGCCATTTGCAGGGTGAAAGATGGAGGAAATTTTCACTACATTCGAAACAGAAAATTGTCGATTCTATGCCCAAGTAGTCCTGTTCACTCGTTTTTTTTACATTCAGGATATGAACTCAAAGAATTCTAAGAAATTACTGGTGGATCACTAGAAAAATGGTGATGAGATGGCGCATTGCTCCAGACATTTCCTCCACAGAGACATTGACGTTGGTGTTGCATTTTGAAGGAGGGGAAGTCGATATACAAGGTCGTAAAAGAAGTACAAACCTGGGCTCTACGCAGTGGCTGATCACAGTTTGAAGTGGATGTGAATGTCAGATTGTTGATCTCCAAAAGTGACAGATAATGTGTGACACAGACACCCCTTATCTGACCTCAGAGTGGTGCTGGCTTAGGGCGCTTCTGATGGTAGCAGACCATCTGACATGCAGTTTGGACAGATCATAAAGGAAGGCAGAGGAAGGCACTCACATCACTTAGTGATGACAACAACATTATCATCCTTCTGGCAGACAAGGGTCGGTGCACAGTATTGCTAAACCAGAAAGACTATCATGAGAAGATTTTGTCACTACTTAGTGATGAAAATACTTACGAGCCCCTAAAACGAGACCCAGGAAGTGGCTACAGGAAGAGGGTGATAGACTGTCTGAAGCAGTTAGAACAAGACAAGGCTATTGACCGGACCTCATACCACAGGCTGTACCCAGGGGAGTCTACACCAAGTCTGTATGGTTTACCGAAAATACATAAACAGGGTGCACCTTTAAGACCGATCGTCTGCATGATCAACTCGGTAACCTATGTAGCAGTCCCCCGGACCAAGGAAGAAATAGAGAGAGCCTCGACGGGTGCAGTAATTTTTACTTTGAGATTCATTCAGAATCTAACAGTGCGCCAGGTGCGCCAATGCACCGTGAAAACTAAACAGAAACACAAAATACATTTTCTTAGACGCTTATTACAAATATGAACTCAAATAAAGCAGAAAATACAACAAAATATCAATTAAGCAAAGAAATACAACTTAAAACATGTACCTCGCTCTACATTCCAAGGGCTGCAAATTGTTAGTTTCGCTAGAGTCCGGTATCACGCTGCTTCACGCTTCATTGAGAGCTGCCTACTGGGAAATGTGCGCCACAAAACCGGTCTGAGCTGGAAGTGCAGCTTGCCGCTAACTAAACAACAGAGCCCTCTACTGGACACTACGCGTAGCTGTTCAGGCTTAGATCAATAAACAAAACTGGACCTTTACACTCCCACCAAATCATGTATAATAAACAACATTCTTTACATGATTTCCAGCTGTAACATATGAACATTACTACAAGAACGAACACAATTTCAAATACATCATCAATAAACTTTCGCAAATACGCCTGATGTGACAGTATTGATTGAAACATCAATTAGTTATTTTCTAATAGAACTACAAGCTTTTGAACAGGTCGCTCAACTACGTGAGGTTTGTGTGCTGTTCCCTGCTTCTTTATTAAGCCTCGATCGCCAACTTGAAGCTTGACTCTGCGGACCAAACCGTCATCTTCTTCTGGAGCTTCAACCACTCGAGCCAGTTGCCACTGATTTCTGGGAAGCATGTCTTCTTTGATAATGACTATGTCATTGACTTTAAGATTTCGACGTGGTAGGTGCCATTTCTGTCTCATAGATATGTTCAGAAGGTACTCTCTTTTCCATCTACTCCAAAACTGCTCAGTGAGATACTGGACTCTGCGCCAACGTTTCCTTGCATATAAGTCCTCTTTCACAAACTTTCCTGGTGGAGGCAGTGCAACCTTTGATTTCATCAATATGAGGTGATTTGGAGTTAGAGGTTCAGGAGATTTAGGATCATTGATTCCATCGACGCTCAGTGGTCGACCATTAACTATAAACATCGCCTCATAGAATAGAGTTCTTAGAGAGCTGTCATCCAGCCTGCCTTGGCATTGAGCAATGGTGGCATTGAGAACATTGCGGATGGTTCGAATCTGTCGTTCCCACACACCTCCGGCATGGCTAGCAGATGGGGCATTGAAGACGAACTCACACTGTTTATTGGCAAGGAATGCTTCTAAGGCATCCATGTCACATTGTTTAAGAGACTCGCTTAGCTCATTTTTGGCTCCAATAAAGTTTGTACCCTGGTCACTGTACAACTTACAAACAGCTCCTCTTAAGCTGATGAAACATCTCAGAGCATTGATGAAAGAGTCAGTAGAAAGATCCTCAAGCATCTCAATGTGGACTGCACGTGAGGAAAGACATGTAAAGAGGAGTCCGTATCTTTTATGCTCTTTGCGACCTTGTTTTGTGACAAATGGTCCGAAACAGTCCATTCCACAATACATGAAAGGATCTGAGATTTCAACTCGTTCCTTTGGAAGTTCAGACATGCGTTGTTCTTCTGGCGAACGTCTTAGTTTTCGACATTGAACACATTTACTTATTAGTTTTGCAACTTCCTTGCTCCCACCAATCACCCAAAACCCATTCGATCTGATTTCCATGAGAGTTTGGCTTCTACCTTGATGACAAATCTGTGCATGAAAATGAGCAATGATCAACTTTGTAATGTGATGGTCTTTTGGGAGGATGATGGGGTGCTTAAGTCCCTGACAGAGTGTTGACTTCTTCAGTCTTCCTCCAACACGGAGAAGTCCTTGATCTAGTACTGGATCTACTCTAAACAGGGGACTTGAACTCGGAAGGTTATCTCCCACCTTCAACACTTCCATCTCTTGAGAAAAGGCCTGCTGCTGAAGGAGCTTTATTACTGTGTCAGCAGCTGTTTTCCGTTCATCTACTGTTACAAAGTTTCCATACTGGGCTTTGCTGGATCTCAATCTTTTTATCCTTGCAACCACTTTAAGGAGCATTGACCAGCTTGAAAACCTTGACAAACGGCTGAGGATATTGTCTTGTTCATTTGTTTGAGTTGTGAGAGCTTTGACTGCTTTGACTTCTGGATCCCCTACTAACAACACAGCTGAAGGGCTGGGTGCATATGAAATGTCATGTTCCCACAGAAACTTTGGACCAGACAACCAACATGTTGACATGATTTCTGATGCACTGAGCCCTCTAGAGGCGTAATCTGCAGGATTCTGAGCTGTGTCAATGTAGTGCCACTGTCTGGGATCTGTAGTTTGCCTGTGACGATCTCTAGGGGGGCTAGTGCTGATGGGCAGTCATAACCAATCAATAGACCTACTTCACAGTTCTGCAATGGCTGTAACTTGTTAGCTAAGCCTTCAAGGTGTGGCCACTGAAGTGCAGTTTCCTTGGTAGGGATATGAGACTTGTCAACTGGGATAAAGTCACGAGAGTAGACGTGTTCTATTGGGACACGAGTCTCAGAATCAAACCCACGCACCTGTAAGTTGTTGGCAAGTTTACTTGCAACGACTGTGTCGACGGAAGTCATGGTGCTAAGCTTTAACTGCACTGGTTGGGCGTCTACATTTAGTTCTGAGGCCAAATCCTCTAAAATAAAGGATGAGTCACTCTGGGTGTCAAGCAGGGCATATGTAAGTATTTCTTTCTCAGGCTCAGATGCAACTGACACAAATACTGGTACTATGCTGGATGTGGAAGATAGTTTCCTTGTTAGTACATGAGTCATAACATTATGCACTTCCTTGTTTGCACCTTCATCTGGGGATTTAGAATCCTCAGTTTTCCTTTCTTTAGGTTCATTCACTCTTTCTGTGTGTAGACAGGTGGGGTGACGCCGACCACACTTACTACAGGAGTGACGTCCTCTGCATTCTTTGGTTACATGACCCCTCCTCAAACACCCAAAGCAGAGACGATTTTCTTGAATGAAAACTTTCTTGTCATCACTAGTTTTCGCTGCAAAAGCAGGACACTTAGCTATGCCGTGCGATTCTTCTTTGCAAAACAAACATGGGGGTTTAGGTCTAGAAGTAGATACTGGGATTG